CCCCAAAACCCCAAAACCCCAAAACCCCAAAACCCCAAAACCCCAAAACCCCATCTAATTAATTAGATTGAAAAATAAAATTTATTTAACTCTTTCACCAAATTTGTAGAGTACTACAACCTCTTCCCCGCTAGCTTCAGAGTATGTCCCTACGCCATGCTGTTGGCTTTGATGCCAGAATCCTTTATAGACCCTCCCATCAGGCCAAGTATAGATTCCTTCTCCTTCCATTTTATTATTTCTCCAAGGTCCCTTATATACTCTTCCATCTGGCCACTTGTAAATACCATAGCCATTTATAGAGTTCATATTGAACTCCCCTTCATAAACACTGCTATCAGACCAACAGAATATGCCTTTTCCATGTTTTCAGCCGTTATTTATACTCTCCTTTATAAATAGAGCCGTCAACCCATTGTTCTTCACCAAATCCTTCCTGAAGGTCTTCTTTCCAGTTGCCTTTCTAAAGATTTAGGCATTATCTCACAAATGTGGTGCCATCAGAATGTCTGTACTCTCCATATCCAGAAGCTTTGCCTTGCTCCCATGATCCTTCGTATGAATCTCCATCATGATGGATTAGACGACCCTTGCCATGGGCAAGGTTGTCTACCCAGAACCCTTGATAGATGCTATAGAAAGTTACAGAGGCGAGGCTAGAAAGCTACTTACAATGCGTGCTCAGACAAAGACAAGTCTTCATTTATGCCATTATTAAAAGTGACTTGGATTCCTCTGCCTTCTCTCATATCTCCATTCCATTCTCCGAGATATTTGGTAGTTCTTCCCAGAGAGTCAGTGCTGACATATACCTTTGATGTGGTATTAAGACCTGATTTCATAAAATCCAGACTATTTGCATCAACTTCATCAGGATATAGATGCACTGAGAAATCGAAGGGACCATTTCTGAAGAAGGCTTCTCTCATAGCTCCCCTCAGAGAGATCTGAAGGTACTTCAAATCCAATTCTGAGCTATCACTGCTTAGAATATAAGACTCATCAGTATTGGATATATCCGTTTTTCCAAACCCTTCTGCAGGACCTGTATCTGTTTGTTGAGTCTGAATGTTAGGCATTGAAATATCTGGTCGTTTGGTGGTGTTCATAGAACCCCTATTTGCTTCTGAATCGGTATAACATCATTTACTCCCCATTTTATTATGTCAATCCAAACAAAATGTAGAGGGGTTTTGGGGTTTTGGGGTTTTGGGGTTTTGGGG